AGACCTTTTTGGGATCGTGCTCATGATACTGAGCTGATTATTGATATTTGTGATGGCTTACGTCCTCCAATTGGTAATATCAACGCACCTGAAGGTTATATTGAATTAATGAAAAAATGCTGGGACCCTGATCAAAGAAAAAGGCCAGCACCTGAGAGAATTCAGAATTATTATTTTAATCTTGATATTAGAATTAGAAAACTTGAATATAACTATCCAACAGATATTGTAGCCACATCAGAAATTGGACCTATAACAACAAACAATCCAGGTGCTATTTATAAGAGTAGATCTTTAAATAGCATGATAAACTCCGCAGAATCCACGAGAAGTTTACGAAGCAAATCCATTTCTTCGAATTTTTGTAATTAAAATTAAATATTTATTTTGCAACAAGTTGAATAACAAAGTTTGAATATGCTAAAATTATTGATAACCTTTTTTCCTTTTTTTTTTTAAAATAAAAAGTAAACGAAAGTTTGAAAGCGATATATTTGAAAATAATGACGGTATGATATTTTCAATAAATTTATACGATTCAAAAAAAAATAAAAAAAGATATTATTTAATAATTGAATGTATCTGTATGATTTTATAGATAAAGGCAATAAAAAAATAAAATTATTGGAGGATGAAACTTATATGTCGAAAGAATTGGAATTTGATATATAATTTGGATTATATTACAAATGTCTAATATGAAATGCAATGAAAACGATCGGTGCACAAATTCTTATTATTCTATTTAATTATTCTTTACCTTGTTTTTTTATTTCTGAATTATCATTTATATTGACGAAAAATAGTTGTAAAATATTATAATTTATTTCTATCGTATACTTATATCTTTGTAAAACGATCGCAAACAAGTTTAATCTAATCGAACTTATTGATAGATTTTTTTTTTATTTACCTAATTTACCGGTATTTACAATAAATTTTGCTTGGAAAAATGTGATAAGCTTTTTTTAAAACATGATAAAAAAAATATATAATTTTTTTAACAATAAAGTATCTGGAGATTACATTAATTGCATGAGACGATCAAATTGAAAAAAAGATAAATTGTAAACATGCAATGATTTGATGCACCTATTTTATTGTTTGGCCGGAATTAAAATGAATTAATGGCTTTTATTATAAAAGTTAATTAGACTCGGTTAGCGGTTGAACAAACCGAGAAGAATTAAACGAATGGTTGAACTTACAACGTAATTTTGATCAGTTCCGTCTACTAAAGTTCATAAAAGACATTCAAACAAATCATTCGCAAATGAATCATAATAAGATAATATTTTAAAATCTTTCATTAAATTAAATTCAACAAATCAAGAAATTTTTTATTTTCAAAAATCTTCACAGCATGGTAATTAATTCAATCTTTAATTAATTTGCCAATATATCATGATTTTTCTAAAACAAAGAATTACAAAGAAAGAAAACTAATATGTATAAAAAAATACATCAAAGAGAACAAAATGATTTAGATAATTCTTAATAATAATTCTTGCATGATCCTAACACCTGCAGGATGACCCGAAGTTATTGAGCCAATGTTTTTGAACTCTTCCGTGTCACGTACAGCATCAAAGTTTCTACATATGTACTCGATGACCTCATTTTTTAAATCTTCCGATTTCCACGCGTTGTTGAATAAGAATCCGATCGAACTTTTTGGTGTTAATCTTTTAACAATTTCAAATTTTACAAGTTCCTTGAGATTTGTAATAAAGAATTTTTCGGAGATGGCAAATAATTGCATAATATCACGTTCATCATGAAGTATTAGTTCATCAGTATATAAGAAATTTAACATTTTAAGAAAAATCTTTGGAGAAAAATCAGGAACATCTAAAATATAATGAGAATCATTTTTGTTGATCTTAATCATTTCGGATCCGTCTTCTTTGAATAAATTTCGAAAATACTTTGATCTCTTTGTCAGAATTGATCTTCGTGCAAAGATGACATCATTATGGACGTTAAATTGTACATCCGAAGCTTCACGATCATCAAACTCATCAGACCACATGGAGATTATCTTGTTTGGATTTGTAACGCGTTTATCAGACTCTTCAAAAGAATTTAACTCAAGGCTTGACCCTATGAAATTGACACCGATTATTAATTTTTTATATGGACGAGGAATGAAAAATAGAGCGCCTATTTTAAAGTTTCAAAAAAAAAAAAAAAATTTAAATATTATTATATATAATTATCATTAAAATCGTGAGTTAACTACTTACAGTGACTATTATGATATCGAGAAAAATTAGCACAAATATATCGCTCGTCCAAAATTTTACTTTCCGACACTTTACAATATATTTTTTGAAAGACGTTGGAATGATCTTTCCAAATATTATCCGATAATTGATCTTCTCGATTGGCTATCGCAATTAAATCTACTGTATAAGCTCTTGAACTTTTACTCTAAATTTAGGATTAATTTGATTAAATCGTAAATGAGATTGATTATATACCGATCGATACAAAAAGACTGATTTATTACCGAACAACTAAATTTTAATTGCCAAAATGCATTGTAACTGCTAGCAAAAGGTGGAGTGTAATAAGTTTTACAATCTTTTATTACATTCTCAGGCAGAGTGAATTCAAAAGTGGATGTTACTTCTCCGTCTGTCATTTTATCTTTAAAGGAAATATTGTGCCAACTGAAAAAAAAACTTTTCTTGTTTTAAAATAAAAAAAAAATTGATCAATTGCGTTATGATGTTATTCACAAATAAGTGATTCTTTTTTTAAAAAAATGGCCAGAGGAAAAAAAAAAAAAGTTTTTTGGTGGCTTAATAAAGTAGATCAGAGAATCAAGTTGGATTTATATTGTAAATAACAATGTTAAATAACAATGAATTTTAACGATTCCATATTCCGTAGTATGAGTACGTGATTATTTTGATTTACTTAACTTAAATCAACATATGCAGCCACATTAATATAATGCCAAAAAAGGAATTAGGTAATTTGTTTATGATCCGCAGTAACCGAATCAGTACTACGATAGATTCAAGCTTTCAGGTCGTCTCTAAATTCTCAATGTTTATAAATGATTCTGATTATTAAATCTCAATTGCTAAACGCATTAGAATTGGCAAAATGTTATTAGGTCTTTTTTACAAAGTTAGTTAACTCGAGAAAATTTCAACCCCAAAAAGATAATTACGTTATATATTGTTGTCATTTATTAGTCATCTCTCTCGTCACTCTTTCCTTTATTTTTTATTTTTTATTTTTTTAAAAAAAAAATATATATATTCAATTAATTAAACTATTATTTATAATCGTACTTTATTTTAATTTTTTTTTTTTTTTTTGTTCTATATCTATTTTAATGCTACATTTTTTCGAAAATTATAAAGTAGTTTGTTTTCCAGAAACAAGATTACAATAAATTTTTAATCTACATAAATAAATTATCTATATTATTATACCTATCATATTAATATACATACATACATAATTTAAGTTAAATACTTTTTTGGTATTAATTTTCCAACAATCTCATGCATGATCTCTATACCAGCAGGATGGCCCTTATATTCCGAAGCCAATGTTTTATATTCAACAGTTTCTCTGACTCTCTCAAAATTCAACACTATAAATTCAATAACGTCTTCTTTGAGATCAGGCCATTTCCACGCATCATTAAATAAAATTTTCATGGCATTATTTAATGTGAGCATTTTGTAAATTTCAATTCTAGCAATCTCTCTTAAATTTGATATTAAATATTTATCAGCGATCTTAAATATTTCTAAAGGACTACAATTAATATTATTAAAACTTATCTCGTCTGTATAAAGGTATCTAAGCATCTCTTTAAATGTCGCATAAGGGATATCGGGAACTTTAATAACATAATGAGAATTATTATCAATCTCTTGTAATGACTTGTTGGTCTCGCTCCAACTTCCTTGAAATAATCTACGAAAATATTCTGAACGTTTTAATAAAATTGATTTACGAGCGTAGGTTGTACCATCCTTCAAATCAAATTGAATGTCATTTGATTCCCTATCATAAAGTTCTTCCTCCCATAACTTTAGAATACTCGTTGGCTTTGGGGTGGTTGTCATCGGTAAATCGATCTGATTACGTTCTAGTTTTGAATTGTTGAATGTCACCCCAACTGTTATCGGACAATTTGTATTTAATGGCTTATTAAAATTCTTCCCTATGATTGAATGTTATAATTTGGAGGAAAATCTTTTTTAGATCCAAGGTGAAAAAATAAAATTCTTAAAAATACAACTTTCACTTACCCCATGCTCTGTTCCTCACGGAGTAATCATCCGTTCTTAGTGAATAAGATTTGTAATAGTTGTAATTCTTGATGTATATCATTGCAGAAAGGTTGGAACGCTTATTCCAATATTTCATCGTTTGCGTCTCATCTGGATTCGGTATCGCAATAAGGTATAATAAACAAAATTCTATATTTTCCGGTTCCGTCTTCGGGACGTTGAAAGAATGTTAACATATGTCGGAACATATTTAAATTAAATTTTAAGAAAATTATATTTTACCGGATGAAATTCCAATTGCCAAAAAATATTGTCCCCTGTCGAAAATACTGGTGTGTATATAACTTTATCATATCTCGTTATCGTTTGAGGGATTGAAAATTCGAAGGTTGCATTGATATTCAATGGCAAATTTGACATGATACAACTGTGACAGGGTGTTTTTTTATCTTATTTTATCTAGCAATTTATTGTTTAGATTTGTGCAGCTAATAATTTTTGTTATAAAATAAAGAAAAAAAAAAAAAAAAAAAAAAAACTCGTGAAGAACAAAAAGGGGAGAGAGAAAGGAGGTACAGATAAGAAAAAAAAAGCATATGGTTTTTAGGACTATGCCGAAAAGTTATGAACAGTTCTAAATCGGTTTTTTAGGTTTGTAAGGCGTGAGAGAATGATTATAAAAGAAATTGTGCGATGTTCAAGATGCAGAGCTGCAGCTCCAACACAGTTAGCATATGATATGAAAGTTCCTCACGTGATTGAATCCTCGGAAATAAAAACTGCATCGAAGGATGAAGTTGTCACATTACATATCGACGTTACCCTTAGTAGAAGCCATCTCGTGAGTGAAATATAAATCAGGAAATGAATGACGGATTCATAATTAATTTGCTAAAGATTTCTCTTCCTGACTCGAGTTTTTTTTTACTGTAATAGATAGGATCTTGACAAAATCATTATATTTTCACGTTTTTGTTTTGATTTTTATTTTCCTTTTTTTTATCTCTCGTTTTTTCCTACTTCTATCATTCAAAGTTATTGAAACTAAAGTCGGATGAAATGACGCGTGGAAATTCGTTATCGACAGATTTCAGAGATATGATCAACAACCCACAGTTTAGCGATATCGAGATTTTATGCAAGGATGATGTAACCATTTACGGAAGTAAAGTTATTTTAGCGGCAAGATCCGACGTTTTTAATGGATTACTTTATAATGGAATGAAAGAATCATTTCAGAAACGAATCACATTTCCTGAAATTAAATCAAACGCGATGAAGATAGTTTTGGAATTTTTATACACTGGAACAATCGAAGCTTCTTTCAATGAAGATAATTTAGTTGAAGCGAATCTAGCAGCAGATTTTTTTCAATTATCTGAATTACAAAGGTTAATTGTTAAAAATCTCAAAGACGCGTTTGATGAAAATGTGAGTGATGTAAATAGATCACCTGAACTCTTATCGGTCATGATTTCAAAGATGCCTTTCCATCAAAAGTCATCGGCGGGAGGAGAAGAAATCGTGAATGATCAGTTACTTGATTTTCTTGCGGAATCTGTGGCAAAGATTCATTTCGATAATATTCCTTTATCAACATTTTCGATTGATGCTTTAGCGTATGTTTTGTCCTACACCTTTAATTCTAATAAAACATTCTCCACTCCAGAATATATGGTTTTTCGATATTCCGTTTTATTGGCCGCGCAACATATAGATTTGGATACTTACAACATGTTAGAAGCTAGGTTGCCTGATCTAGATTTCGTTGAAATATTCTTGGAAGATGAACAAGAATTCAATCATAAGAAATTTAATAAAGTTCGACAAAAAATTTATCGACTAATACATCCTTTAATAAAGTTTATCGATTTTCGTAGGATTGATGGAAGAATTTTATCAAGAATTATTGAACCTTTAGGAATAATCCCGAGTTCGATCATCATTGAGGCGTACAGGAATTATTCAACGAATAAAAGGAACCTTCCATCGACTCGTGGAATTACGAAAATCTATTGGGATGAAGGGGGAAGTGGAGGTCATATTTATGTTATGGGTGAAGGATCAATCGCAACCACAAATCATCAATGTTATGAAAATATCAGAACGAATTTTGTTATATCGAATAACGGAACTTATGAATGGGATATTCGTATTGAAGAAATCGGTAGATTGGAATTATGTGTAGGAGTGCATGCAAATTCAAAATTTAATTATGATCTTTTTGGTGCGTGTCAAAAGAATACTTGGTTACTTTCTTCCGCTGGTGTGTTATATTCTCATACTGGAAGTACGTTTATAAATTACAAATTTAGCAAAGGCGATCAAATCACTTTGCGATTAAATATGAATGAGCGTACCCTTGTATTCTCTTTTAATGGTAAAATGCTTTTAATTACTGAACTAAAAAGAAAACGGAAATATTATCCCATAGTATCTCTCAATCATCCTGCTAAAGTTCGACTTTCACCTAATTTGCGACAAGCCTGAGGTTTATTTCATTATTTGGATGAATTTTTTTTTTTACGTTGATTTTCAATGAAATCCTAATTCTGTATGGTTGGAAATTTTAGGATGAAATAAATAAAAAATGCATTTAAAAAAAAGTCAAAATTCCCAACGAAAAAAGTAAAAACATTTATTGTATAAGAATTTACCATTAAGGTTAAAAAATTCGACAGAAATGATCTCATGAATAAATCATTTTGAGTATAGCTATGATTACGTAATTTGTTCACCTGATATTGTGTATATATGTGGATTTTTTTTGTCTCGTAGATTTTCCAACTTTCTTCCTATTTTTATCCAACAATTCTAAACATGTCACAACTTAATAAAGATTGTCTTTTCATGATTTTTAATGAATTAGAAAACGATAGACTAACTTTATATTCTTGTCTTTTTATAAATCGAGAATGGTGTGAAAACGTTGTTCCGGTCTTATGGAAACATCCTTGGCAATTTTTTATACAAAGAGATTATTTATATTATCAATCTATAACAATTAATGAGTGGTATCTCTTCAAAACAATTCTCTTGCATTTATGGGAGGAATCACATGAAAATTTGAACAGGCAAAAGATCAAGTTATTCAATAAATCCACCAAAAAACCTTTATTTAATTATGTAGGATACTGTAAATATTTGGATTTTTCAAATTTGAATATATTAATCGATGAGACATTTCAAACTTATGATGAAACAAAATGTTCGATTATTAAAGTTGAAATATTGAAGATGTTTATTAGGAAGACAAGGATTATAAATTTCACCATGCCTCGATTAGAGAATTTTCGATTACAACTTTTTCCGGGAATTGATAATTGGTTATCCGATATTGAATGCCTTACATGTGACAGTAATATCAATCAAGAAACTTTTATTGAGCTGGCCAGATTGTGCAAGTCAATTAAATCTCTAAATATTTTTTTAGGAAATCTCAATAATCCCGGATTATTTAGATTTATCAAAGTACAAAAACAACTTCATGAAATTGGTTTTTCATTGGATCCAACAAACAATGATATAGATTTTTGTTCATTTCATCAAACATTTAGAGATGCATTAACGGCAAATGCAAATACCATCCAACATTTTAAATTAACTCATGGAGTTTTATTTCCTTTCAGTGTCCTTTCTTCTTTGGTCAATTTAAAAAGTTTATATGTTGGCAATAGAATCACTTATGATTTTTGGAGTGATCTAGAGATTTGTTCATTTCCAAATCTTGTTAAACTTGTAACTTATAAAATCCCACTTGAAAAAACGGCAAGGATGATTGAAAATTCCACATCAAAGCTAATAGAGATTATAATTGAATATACGATTTATCATCAAGCGTATTATGATAGATGTATTCAAGCAATTTGTCAAACTTGCCCAAGGCTTAAATATTTCAAGATCATAGTAAAGATGACTGATGATTTTTACAAATTGAGAGATATATTACAAAATTGTCATTATTTAGAAGGTTTGGTAATTGAATTCCCTTATTCAATAAGGGGTTGGAATTATAACATTATTAAAGTTGATGAAGTTGACAATACTGATTCTGATATTGATGAGGAGAGTGAATATAGTTTGATTGAAGATGAGGATGATTGTAAAATATTATGTGAGATATTAGCCAAATATTCTCCCATGTGTTTATATAAATTTAAATTACAGAACATGAAGACGCTTACAACAGATAATCTAAAAATTTTCTTTGATAACTGGAAAGATCGACCTCCCATGTTACTTCAAACTATGCCAGGATGTAGACTCTTTGGTAAGCATTTCGATCTTATTAGAGAATATACGGAGAAAGGTGTTATCAAGAAGTATGATAATATTTTAAATATGGAAGATAATTATGATTACTTTGAATGGAAATAAAAGTATAACATTTAGAAAATTTAATTATAACCTATATATTAAATTTTATATATACCTACATCTATGTTTATTTTATTGCTCTATTTTATTTTTCACATTAATATTTACCATAAAATTTATTATTAAAGAGCCGGATTGTAAAAAATATAATCAATAATGATAAATCACAATTCTTTCATATTTATTTAAAAGGAAACGTTTACAAATTTCTCACATTTACCTACTTTTCTTAGTCTGAACTCGTTTAATAAGAATATAATTTTATTAAATTGTTACTTTGATAAATTCCAAAATAAATTCTTTAGAGTATTTGTTATAATATTGAGACTAATTTGCATAATAAAAAAAAGAAACCAATTCTTTTTAGTAAGTACATCAACATTCAGATTTTCAACATTTATCACCAATTCTAATTATTATATAACAACCCGCCTCATTACGTTTGTCATTGCTATGAATTAAAACGAACGTCATTTGAACGATATTGTTTGCATGGAATGCATTTATATGGTGGTTAACTTTCGTAGTAATTGATCTGGAATTAGTATTTCCCAATTCAATAATGTTAATAATGACCATATATAATACTTTGATATTTGTTGATATGCGTTTAAACAAAATAACGAGATTTATTTGTTCCAATTTATAATCTCTATGCCTGAACTATTTCATGTATAATCTTATCTTTTAAATTCAAAGAAAATTATAATTCATCCAAATTAAATAAGAGAATAAACTTTACAAATATTTTCTTATATAATATCAATATGAAAACCAAAATGAATGCATTTTTATTCACAAATTCTATACAATATTACTCAAAAAGAAAATCTATATGTTTTATCTAATGAATGATACTTTGAAAGATGAAATTATTCCATAATACCTGAAATATTAATTCTATAAAAATTGAAATAATAATTCTTATTAAAACCTTGTAGAAACAACCATTAATAATTTTAATAACTTTTCAGTACCTTTTCTTTATAATTTCTTTTTCTTGTTCCCAAATCCAATCTCGTATATCATCATATTGAGTTCTATATTTATTTAAACTAGTAATATAATCTAATTTATATTCTTTACCTGATTTTATTAGGGGTTTATATCTACTTATTTCAAATCTTGGCGATATTTCCAATGGAGTCTCTTTCTCTAATTTATAAGATATTTCAAGAATTCTGGAAATATTTATGGTATTAGCTCTAGTAAAGAAGTCCTAAGAACAAAGTAGGTTGTTAAAGTTATATTGTTTCAATATTTAAAAGAAAAATAACGATAATTACCAAAATTTGATCCCTTTGGGTCATTTCTAATAAAATGTCTCTTGCTATCATTATATAAGAGATTATGAAAAAACACATAAACGACGGCTCATCATTTGATAATAAATGATCCCATAATTCCAACCAATCTTCTCGCGTTAATATTTTTGCAAAACTACAAAGAATCATTGTCCATGCGCAATCCTATATCAAAAAAAAATTTTTTTTGATTAAATATTTATAATCAAACCAGTAAAAGAAAATTTCAAATATTTATTACCTGAATCTTTATATTACAAGATATTAAATGCGTATGTAAATCATTATCCCAATGTGCCAATAAAACATTTATAGCATTCATGATATTGGTTGGAGGGTTGGGAAATTCCTCCCAGCGACACTGGTACCAGTTAACTATATATAATATATTAGTAAAGCAATTCCTTTTGAATATAGAAGATACTTAAAAGCTTAATTATTCATACATAATATACTCAAAATTAGTTCAAATGATAAAGTTTCGTATATTTCCGTTAACAATTCCATAAATGGATATACCATATGGGATATCCATTCAGCTACTACTCGTTGATCATATCCTAATCGAACAAAGGCTGATAAAAAACTGCCACGAATAAAATTCGTATTATATAAATAAAAATATTTCAAAAAAAAAAATGGATGAATTTGGAAAAGCTCTTAACTTTTCTAATTTTCCAATTATCCTTCGCTGTTTGGAATCATTTGACTTTAGATTATTTGACAATGAAGACTTGATGGCGGGATTTACACATTGTCTGGTTACTTCTTTGTAAGCTTGTTGGTTTTGAGGAAGATCCAATAATATACACCATATACGAACTCTTTTTTTTTAAAAAAAAAAATTTAAAATATAAACCGAAACGATTTTCGAATCCCTATTGTTTCCGGCTACATCCTCATCTATAACAGAAATAATACAAATAATTTTACCTATGCTTATCTGGGTATCTTCCTAATTGATGTAGTTTTTCGACCAGTCTCTCTCTTTTCTTTTCGCTTGAAGCAGGATATAATCCCTAGAAATTAAATTAGTAATACAATATTTCAAATATCTCCGCCAAAGGGAAAAAATGGTAAATACCGATAAATCTCTTGACCCCATAGTAGATATCGAAGTTCTCCTTGAAGTATAATTTGCTTCTAATAATAAAAAATAGTAATAGTTTATTGGTTTATTTAAGATATTTCTTGGTCAAGCTCTTCTAATTAATATAAACGAATTACCTTGAGCCACAATAGCGTTTCCTGAAGACGTGCCAATTAGCTCATTTGTTGTTTGACCATAAACTACATCAGATACTTCCTCATCATCTTCCGAAGTAACTTGCGAAGAAAACATGATATTAGATAATGACGACATTCGTATTTCGGTGGGAGGAGATATACTTCTCAATGTGGAAAAATCACGATATTGGTGTTGCAACTTAAAACGAACAAAGATTTAAATATTGTTAATTATATCAAATCATAATATAAGGAAAATTTAATATATATACACACAGTATCAGAAATTAAAACTTCCAAATCCCAAATTTTCAAAGTTGCTCTTTCCTCCATTGAATTTGTTACAATGAATTTTCCATCGGGGGATATTTCAAAAAATTTGATCTATTATCAAATATTAAATTCTTGAGAATTAATTAAAACTAAAAACAATCATAAACTACTATCAATAGATATCTTACGGGACGCTGTACGTTTATATGGTATATCTGTGATTCAATTTGAAAAATGTCAATAATCAGAAGTCTCCCATCTGAAGTAGAAACCAAAAGATCCTAAATAATAAAAATTAAAAAATTAAATTACGTTTGCAAAGTGAAACGCTATTACGTCTTCTTACCGAATCATCGTGAATTAATTCGAGTTTCATAATTTCACCTTCAATTATAGACTTAAGGTTTATATCTCGAATTAAATTTTTCGTATCAAATTCCCAAATAAAAATGTTTGTCCTAAAAGATAGAAAATCATTAGATTATACTTATAGGATACTTAATCAAGAAATTAAACCGAGCGTATATCAATTTGAATTGGATTGAACAATCATCTAATTCTAATCGGATATAAGTTGATTGGAAATTTAATATAGTAAAGTTGGATTAATTGGATTGATTCGATCCAATTCAAATCAATTTAGTGATTCGCCAAATATGAATGCACCCAGTATCACTTACTTGCCAGCAACTAAGATCAATTTACCATTTTTAGATGTTACAGCTATTCTACACGTATTATCATACGCGTCACAAAATCTTAATAATGAAACTCGTGAAGGAACTTGTAACTTCCATAGGAGATCAAAAGAACTGTTAGACCATATATATACTGAATCATCAAAATAACTTGTAATAATATATTCCCCTTGCGCAGAGTAAACAGCCTAAATTATTATAATCTAACATTAAAATTTTTGCTTAAAAAGCTATCAAATTAATTTTCAATACATACGCGAGTTAACGCGACACCTTCTTTGATATGATTCAAAACCTTTTGCTTGGACCAATCAGTCATATTCCATAATATCGCTTCGGATTTTGCACTGGTGATGACGACATGTTGTTTTGGGTGCATTGATATCCAATTTACTGGACTTCGATGGCTTCTAGCTTCAGCAATAAGTTGACGAGTCTCTTTATGAATTATCGTCAAGATTAGAAAAGTTACGAAAAATGGAGAACCAAAAGTTTCTTTTACTTACCAACGTTGTAACATCTGATAGAGTTGTCGGTAAATGCCACTACTAATTCATTTCGAACCAAATGAGTAAAGGCAATAGCAGAAGCTGCTATACCTAATCGAGAAACCTGCCAAAACCTGTGTTCGTTAGTTATTTTAATCTGAAAAAAAAAAATATAAAATCGAACCCGATTTAGCTCACTTGTTTGCACCAAAATCAAATGCCATAATGCATCCATTTTGATCTGCAGAAGCCATCATTAATGTTCCATCCATGGCGTCTTCTAAAACACTAAAACCATCATAAAATCCTGATTGGAATCCTTTTCCACTCTTTTGACTTGTTGGAGCAAAACAAAAACATCCAAATGCAATAGATCGGTTATAATTTCCTTTAACTTGTTTCTTTCGAGGTCGATGAACATTTATGATATTTAATAATAAACTTTTCAAAATGAAATTTATAGTTATGACTACCTAAAAACTTCAAAGAATATAAACCTAATAAATAATATACCCATATAAATCCTCAACAACGTTCTCAGGTTTTTCTTCTTCTTTAATAATTTCTTCAATTTCTACCTCCTCCTGAGTTTTGGTTTCCTTTTCTTTAGATTTTTCACAAATTTGATTTGACTTTATTCCAGCAATAAATACATTAAAAGCAATAACCATTTTATTATAATATAAAAAAGGTGATCTTTGAAAGAAAAAAAAATAGATTTTTGAACCAATAAACATTTGTGATCAACCAATCAAATGTCGAAATCTAAATTTATTAAACTAACATGGAAAATTATAAAAGATGAAACAAAAAAAATTGTTTATAAAATCTTTCTCAAAAAGTTTAAACTTCGGAGCAAAAAAAAATATTTCACTCCGATAAATTTAATCATTGTGAAAAAAAAAATTTTTTAATAATTATTATTATTATTATTATTTTTAGCTTTCTTGCTAATCCTTTTTCATCTGAAAATATATTAAAATCATTTTATAATGACCTCCAAGTCATTGTACAAAGAATTATTTGAAGGAGAACTTTCCGATGTGGAAGAAGATTGTCCCGGATGTCAAGAACTTGAATATACAGATTCCTACAATTTATTTCATGACATATTCAACGAGAATATAATTTTACACGATATTTCTGACTTATCCAAAGAACTTGATGACAAAGTTTTGGACACATTTGTTAAATTGTTGATTCTTTATCATATGCATAAAACCTTGGCAGAATTAATTATTATTAGAAATTTACAAGTTGATCAATCAAAACTTCCCTTAACCGTGAAAATCATGATAAAAAATAAGAAGAGTGTTAATAAAAGTAAAAAGATTTATGATATTTTTAATGAAGAAGTGGAACAATTATATGGAAAACCTTTTCATTTGAATCGACCAAAGGAGAAAAAGAACGTTTGGATTGATAAAAAATGGATGATTCTTTCTTGTATTATTGCTAGTAAGTAATTGAAAAAATTTGTTCTTTTTTTATGTTAATTTATTTATTTTAGTGATATTAATTAAATCAAACTATCTTATTTTGTTCGGAAATTTCTAGTCATTGCATTTTATTCAACCCTTTTTAACTATAATGAAAAGTGAATCGAAAGATATTATATACCTTTTTTAACCAAAGAAACTATAACATTTTTAATGGAAATTTACGCGTCACATAATTGAAGAATTTATTTGAATGCGGTTAATTTTTTAAATTGGATAATTATTTTTACAATTAATTATAAAATGATTAATGAAAATCATATGAAAATAATATGCTCATATTGATGTTAAGTTTGAATATAGAAAATTGTTATTTAATTATAGATTAACTTTCTTGATAGATTAATATATATATACAGTTTATTTATTTAATTCAATATGAATAATTTTAATCAAACTTTTTTATTATCATTATTATTCAACCTTGATCTCAATTTTAAAAATCTGCTGCGCCTTAATGGTGCGATTCTCCAACAAAAAAAAATTGCCCTTTTCAGTCGACCTTTCTTCAGATTCTTGGAGAAATTAACAAATTCAGATTGTAAGAAATTCAAAACCATTATTTGAAAAGTACCGATCTAAAAAGAAAACAATAAAAACAAATTGGGTTGAATCGGTTGTTAAAAATTTGCTTTATCACGTGTTTAATCAGATTTAATATTATAAACGATAAGTTTAATCCTTTCTGAAATAAAGCATTATTACATCTTCAGCATTAAACTCTCTATATAATATGGGATGATTAATTCGGTATCTATTTTAACATATTTTTGATATAAATATTCAATAACCTGTTTTTTTTCTAGTAGTTATCACTATATATCTCTTGAATTGAAAATGTTCCCTATAATCTATATATATATGTTGTAGGTAGGAATGGAATCTATGTGGATTCTGGATTCACCTGAATGTTGACCAAAATTAAGATTAGTTTTGGATTAGGGTTAGATAGTGCTGGCCAAGATCCAGTATCCTCCTCTGATATTCCAGAAACCACATAAATATATTTATTTTTTTTAAATTTACAATATTTGTTCATATAAATTACTATAATTATTCAATATAAAATATGATTATTGTTATGTAATAATAAGCTAATTTATAAATGTATTTAATTTGTATGTAATGATATATATTATGATAATATATATATAAATATAATATTTACCTATATAACAGATTCTATTATTTAAATTTCATGACAATTTAATTTAATTTTTAGATTTTAAATAAATATAATTAGTAATAGAATTATTAATAATTATTAAATTCTGTAAATATAATATTAAAAAATTTTAATAGTTTTTTATGTTTAAATAATAAAAAATAATTTTTTTTTAAATTAAAAATATTAAATATTCTATTCTTTATTTCTATCATTAAACTAAAATTAATTTTAATAATTAATAACTTTTTATATTTATTTAAAATCAAAATTTTGAATTTTGAATTTTTTTATAATAAAAGTATTTTCTTTATAAAAGTTAAAATTTATTATTTATTCATTTTTATTCATTTTTATATTATCAAAAAAAACTTTATAAAATATAAATTTTACATTTATTACTAATTTTATATATTTTAATATTATTTATTATAAAAAAAAAGAAAATTTAAAGTTGAAAATATTGTATATATTTAATATTATATATTATTTGAATGATATCAAATAAGGATCAATTAAGTCAAATCTAGATTATCAATTGGTTTTCTAATTTTTTTTTATTATTTAAATAATTAAGATTAATTTTATAAAATAATACAAAAATAAAACATTTGAATTTCAATTAAAATATTATAAAAATATCAATAAGTTTAATCTTATTAATATTTAATATATAAGAGGTTTGCTAGAAAAATAGAATTCTGAGAAATTTTTATTAAAATTTTAATTTTTATTGCATTTTAATTTTTGATAATATT